CGCCCCCGACGCCTGAGCTCGCCCCCGCCGTCGTCCTCCTCGCCTACGACGCCGCCGCCCCCTACCTCCTTCCTCCAACGACGCCTACCGCCCTGCTTCACTTCCGACCCCGCTGGCCCGCCCTGCTTCGCCTCCGAATCCAAGGTAGCGCCATCACCATCTTTTCCTAGTTATGCTGTTGATCCAGCGGGTTTCCCTCGAGTGAAGTTTAGAAGTTCCTGGGGTGACCTCTAATTCTTAAGGAACCGTAATAGTATGAAATATATATACTGCTTGGTATAGAACTTCGAAAGGCAGCTCAAAATTTCATCTGAAGCTTGTTCTTGATAGAAATGTTGTTTCTGAACATTCTTAAAGCTAATGGAACATACCACATTTTGGGAGTGCCTTCTCTTTCTTGATGAAAATACAAAGGTGTTTGGTTCGTGAGCAGCGGCGCAAACGTAAATGTAATGAGATTAAACCTTGTTTGGTACTATGAACTGTAATGTTAACCGATTTCAGCGAATTTCCAGCGGTGACTGACAGCGGCGCTTTTGGTGACCTCTCCTGCGCCTGTGCCTGTGCGTGCTCCAATCAGTAGGCTAGATACAGGGGCTAGGACTGGGCGGACTGGCCGGTGGCCTGGCCTGTGCGGCTGGCTAGCTGCTAGTGCAGCGAGGCGCTAGATACGGACGTTACAGTGACTGGAGCGGCCCTGCCTGTGCGGGATGGCCGCCAATGTCGCCGATTTGGCTCCTGTTGTGCTTCCTTGACCTCCCGTCCCATGCGGGCATGACATCCAATCCAACCTCTCGTGCCTCCTTTCATGGCGCCACGCCTCCTACACCGTGCATCCCAGCATGCATCACCTAGGCCACTCCCGACCTCGAGGCGCCGGCCGACTCCTGCACTGCCAGTGCCACCGCTGCAGCCTTTCAGGACTGCAGGAGCCGCCCTTGCTGGTTGCGTCGTAGCCGAAGGCGGAGCCCCAACGGCTGGCGTGGTAGAAGGTGGAGGCGCCGACTGACGGCTTCGACGAGGCGACCGTGGTTGGGGGTGGCGGCTCTGGTGATGCCATGTAGCAGTCTAGGCTTCCGGTGGTCGGCGGCTCGCCGGGGGCCATCATGGTGCACTACTGGTGCAGTGGTGGCTGTGCCTTAGGCAGAGCAGACCATGAAAAACACGGCATTGTGGGAAGAGGCTTCGTGCGGGAAAGAGCCGCGGGGGGCCATCATGGTGCACCACTGGTGCAGTGGCGGCTGTGCCTTACCCAAAAAGGCTTTCGCCCCGCTTTATATTATAAAGCAAACCGCCCAAGCATCCAACATAGTTCAACAAGATCCCACAAACACACACACACAGAGGTCCACACGAGAACAAACAAGTCATAAGGGTTAATGCTGAGGGCACAGCTCAACAAGACCTAGAAACAAAACACACACTCCACACCCCACACCCCACACAGCAACCCGAGCCTAGTCAGGTTCTGGGGGAGGAGGCGGTAGCAGGGGCGCCACGCGGAGAGCCATCGAGCGAAGGTCGGCGAGTAGGGTGGTGATGGCGTCCCGGTCCTGTGGGCTGCTAAGCGGCCGCCAAAGCTGCAAGTAGGCGGAGCAGACCATGAAAAAGACAGCATTGTGGGAAGAGGCTTCGTGCGGGAAAGACACAGTTTCCGATACAGGAGAATTTGTGCGTAATCAGATTTGTACTAGGCCGGATTTGATACCTGTGTTAACAGATTACGGCTCGCGACCAAACCAAACATATTTTAAAGGTATGTGTTACGAGCGTAATGAGGTTACGTTACAAAATCCTAAAACAGACACATCCTCTGTGTTACATGGTAGGTATGTACTAAGTACTATATAGCAAGTATTATTCTGCTTCATTTAAAAAAAATTATTCTGCTTTGTCTAGCAATTGGTTTGTCATGAAGTGGTTAGGGTTAATTGCATGCTTTTCTCTGTTCATTCGTTTCTCTGAGGACCCTTTTTTACTTGTCCAGTCTAGGGTCAGTGGCCCAGCTTCTGCAAATGCTTCAAGGCAGCAGCATTTCCAACCAGAAGACCTTATATGAAGTCCTATCTGTGCCTGAAGATGCTACATATGACGAAATACGTACAGCATACAAGTGTGCTGCTTTAAATACACATCCTGACAAAGCACAGCCGACTCTTGAGCCATTTGTGCCTACCGGCGAGCAACATGATTTTTTCGGTGTGCAAAAGGCATGGGAAACCCTACGCTACCCTAAATGTCGGGCAGAGTATGATAAACAGCTGCAATCATCCAGACAGAGCCTTGATGTCATCGCAACCGATATCGAAATCGAGGATATGATTGTTGAGAGCTCTGATGATGGTGTGGAGCTATTGTACGCCTGTAGATGCGGCGATTATTTTTCGATCACATCTTGCGAGCTTGGTGAAATGGGAATTTTGGTGAGTGAAGATGGGGAAATAGAAGCGCAGGCACCTGATTCTTTACCAACATCTATTGTTCTGGGATGTGGCTCGTGTTCTCTTAAAACACGGCTGGTTATAAATAAAACTTGATTCATCGTGCCTCTGGATGTATGTGTGTTGGTCAGCAAATACTGATTTAAACACCTTCCATCCTGCTATTTTGAAGCACCTCCGATCATCGTCGACATAGCGTGTACTGCTGGCATATCCATTCTTGTGTACCTGAGCTCCTGATGGTTGTATTGAGATGAATGATGTTTTTGAACATTGTGCTCAGCTAACCACCTTTGTCGATTCAAGTCTTTGTGGGTTGTTATCTGTACGTCTCTTTCCGTTAATTTTGCTTGTTGGCTATGACTTGATGCTCCCTCACCTGTCACTGGTTCTGATGTTCACATGTACGACAGCTGAGGTGAATGCTTGCTGCTCATTTCTTTGACTTGGATGATTATTCCTGTCAATTCCACTGACGAAACAACAACACGTTTGTTGTGCCTTTTGCTGTAAATTACTAGTATAATACTCCCTCCGTCCGGAAATACTTGTCGGAGAAATGAATAAAAATGGACGTATCTAAAACTAAAATACGTCTAGATACATTCATTCCTCCGACAAGTTTTCCAGACAGAGGAAGTACTATACAGTACTCCCTCCGTCCGAGAATACTTGTCATCAAAATGGATAAAAACGTTCCTCCGACAAGTTTTTCCAGACAGAGAAAGTACTATACAGTACTCCCTCCGTCCGAGAATACTTGTCATCAAAATGGATAAAAATAAATGTATCTAGAACTAAAATATATCTAGATACATCCCCTTTTATTCATTTTGATGACAAGCATTTCCGGACAGAGGGAGTATATATTTGGCATTACTCTTGCTGTCGTGCCAATACTGCTAAGCATGGGCAGCATCCTACACAGAACGGTCTCGTTTTGGAGACCTGTCAGCATATGTTTATTTGTAAAACCTAACCCGCCGTTAACGGCAAGTCACTCACCCGTAACATGATTATGTGCGTGTACCCGGTCGCACTTGTCACCCGTAACAGTCTGTAGTGTACGTTGTATTTTGTCGCGTATACAGCTCGACCTGTCTCTTCACACCGACCGATTCGTTACCGCAGGAAGCTAAGCATTTCGTTTTCACGACCGCGTTCCCACCGCACCTGCACCTGCATCGGCGTGTACCTTGGGCTTTGATTCTCCCCCACGGCCCTGTCCCGAAAGCAACATCAAACCACCACCAGCAATGTTGTCTTGCATCTTCTTCTTTATTCGCCTTAATTTTTTGATCCTTTTGAAGAGAACATTTTTTTTGCTTCCGAATCATTTCCCGCTATGATCTTGCACGGCAAGATTGCCTACAAGCTTAGTGCTTTTGGTGTTTGTGGCTTCGGTGCTCCCGGCCATGTAGTCAACACGATCTTCGCTTATTTGAACCTCGCGTGGATTAAACAACAGGCTTTGTACTGGTCGCGGTTGTGCTGCTTACACTTTGACGATGATGAAACTTCCGTCCTTCTTGGGTAGAAGCACACTAACTAACACGTTTTCCCCCCGAGTAACACGACAGGATCGGAAGTGGAGCTCGGCGCCGCAAATACCAGTACACTGTCCAGCTCGAACAAGGCGGCTGTTACGTAGCCTTGAACCCAAAGGATTTGTATACAAACCCTAGGCACTAGTAGGGTGCAAACACATCGAGAGCCACCTCTGTTCCGTTCAAGTTGCGGGGCGCCTGTCATGCGCGTTCGCTTCGACCCCTACGTCACCTCAAGAAAAACCCATTCGCGCCGGCCCTGGCCACAGCGACAACAAGATCGCTCCCCCATTTATAGGCACACCAGAGATGACATGCCACATCGCGTGAGCGTTGCACGAGCAGATCGATCGATCGATCAACCGCGTGAGCAATGCCTTGCGTGGCGCACGAGTGCCATCCCAGGCTCCCCGCCGCAAACCACTGCAGGTCCCTCTCCTGCCTCGTCAGGGAGACCTACGCGCACTGCCATGCCCCCTGCCTCGGCATCCCCGCCGCCGGGTCGAGCTCCGGCGACGACGACAGCGAGGAGGACGACGGCGCCATGCTCGACACGAAACAGGTGACGGCCGAGCGTGCTCTGTTCTTGACCCATTTATGTGAGCATGGCGCATACGTGTAACCGTGGTAGTATATTGCATTCAGGTGATACTGAACGAGATGAGGAGCCGGGAGATGAGGAAGCGGTCGTCGAGGTCTAGCGTGGACTCGCCGACTCTGTCGGGCACCTTCGCGTGGTCGTTCACTGCGCTCGACCCAACAAGCTCTATCGAGAAGGTCTCGACTACTGAGGAGGAGAAGGATGCGGCGAGTGACGGTGACAACGAGAGCGAGGCGTTCTTCTCAGTGAAGAGCTTCTTCACGCGCAGCACGAGCCGGGCGGCGACCGTCGCATCATCAACGGATATGGACCTACCGGCGACGTGGGAGGGCTTACGGGACTGCAAGGGGTGGCCGTTCGGGCTGTGCCGTCGCCCCGCCGTGCCGCCGCTCGGCCGCTGGCCAGCACGCCGACCGACTCGTGGCAATGGCGCAAGCGAAGCAGTAGTAGCAGCAGCCTAGCCGTCAGGCCTGACCACAGCCCGGCTCCGGCTTACAGCTTAAAGATCACTACCAGTTAGTAATAGTTAATCGGCGCCACCATTACAGAAACAAGAACTTCCATTACCTAGAATGAAACCCCCAAACTGTTGGTATACAGACTACAAATGAAATTAGCAACAGAAGAGACAAATAAAAGGGCGTGAAAAGAACTAGAAAATCTTCAGATCAGCCGCCGCTCGGCGTCGTCGCGGCGGCCGAAGAGGAGGGCGGCGAAGCTGGCGACGGCGCAGACCGCGGCGACGGCGTTGCCCTCGCACAGCAGCACGCGGAGCGCGAGCCGCGCGATGTCGGCCGTGGCGCGGCGCGCCTCGGCGACCAGCGACCGCCGGGGCTTCCCCGCGAACGCCAGCAGCACGAGCACGGTGATCCACGTCACCAGCATGGCGGGCGCGGCGACGGCCAGCGCGGCGCCCATGGAGAGCAGGCCGAAGACGGCGCCGTACATGACGGAGGCGTAGAGCGCGGCGGGCCACGCGGCGGCCGCCCCCGCCGAGGCGGCCGCGGCGTAGTACCAGGCGCGCACGGACGCCAGCAGGCTCCAGGAGGAGGAGAGCAGCGCGGCGTAGACGGCGAGGAAGAGCGCCGCCCAGGTGCGGCGCTTGCTCATGGCCCGGAGCAGCAGGGAGGTCCAGGGGGGCCACGACGGCGGGCCAGGCTCGGCGGCCTCCTGATCCGCCATAGATGGGGCGCGGATGCTCGATTCCAAGGTGGTAATTTTGGGCCGGGGGGTTCTGCCTGCGGGCAGGCGGCGGTGCTCTGGTTTACCTTGGTTGCTTTGCTGCTCGGTGAAGGCACGGCAGGGATGGCAGGGATGCCCGAATGCCGAATCGACTCTTGCTTTCCGAAAGGGGCTCATCCCCTTTGTCCCGTTTTTTTATTTCATTCCAGATTAGACTAGACTAGACTAGAGAGTGGAAAGTGCTGGGAGTTGGGCTGATTCAGGCCAGCTCGACGTGCATCGGGCCGCGTCGGCGTCGGGCTAAGGCCAGCTGGTCCGGCACCCGTTTGGCCTGTCGGACTATACCTGGCCATGGGCAGCATGGCCCGGACGGCCCGACCTTGCCCACGGGTCGGGCCTGGGCCTAGTTTTTGAACTTCATGGTCGGGCCAGGCCAGGCTTTGGCTTGTCGTATTTGCAATTTAAGGAAGAGGCACGTGCCGAGGCTAGACGGGCTTTTTGATTGATGGGCTGAGCTTGGGCCTGAAAACTAGGCCCAATGGTCGGGCCAAGCCCGGGCCTAAGTTTTCTGCTTCAGGCTTTGTTAGGCCCGGCCCGGCCCGAGTTTTGCCCAGGTATATGTCACACAACCACACGTCCACATATCTCAAACAATAACTCTACACCGAAATTTGCTTATGGACTCTCTCCCTAGCCAATCTCCCACTAGTCCGCCCCTTGAATCTTAGGGGTGGGCCCCTTCCTCCCCAACTAAGTGTTGCCATCTCATTCCGTGACCATGATCCTATATGATTTGTCCGTAGATGTAGCAAATCTCCGTCTGAAATGTGGATTCTTAAATTCTTACTACAATCCTTACACGTGGATCATAGAGCATAAATTCGACGGTTCAACACAAAGAAAAAAAATCACAGTTTAACAATCCAGACATGCCAAAATAAAATTTAAGTCCAAGCATGAAGGGTCACTTGCTGCCGGACGCAATCCATGTCGCCTGCTCCACGACCATCCTTGCCTCTTGCTATGCCTGCACCCTTGCCGTCTCCTCTACCTGCATCCTTGCATCCACTTCCGTTGCTACCATGGACGGGGTTCGGGGCCGGGCGCAGCGAGGGTGAACACTGCTCCTCGAGGCCCACAATTGCTCCCTACGACACCGCTTCTCTCTCCCATTGCCTCCATAGCCGGTTCCTACGCGCAATGTTCTCCGGCTTGCATGCCGAAGCCGAGGATGGGACAGCCACGAACGACGTTGAAGCTACCTCTGTGGCGGCGGTATGAGACGGGCTAATCGACATCTAGGGTGAAAGATCATGGATGTTGCCTAGGAGGGGGGGGGGTGTGAATAGACACTTTTAAAATAATTACGGTTTAGGCTTGAACAAATGCGGAATAAACCTAGCGGTTAATTTATCAAGCACAAAACCTACAACAACTAGGCTCACTTATGTGCACCAACAACTTATGCTAAGCAAGATAAACAACTATGTGATAGCAAGATATATAACATGAAACACTATGGCTATCACAAAGTAAAGTGCATAAGTAAAGGGCTCGGGTAAGAGATAGCCAAGGCACGCAGAGACGACGATGTATCCCGAAGTTCACACCCTTGCGGATGCTAATCTCCATTTGGAGCGGTGTGGAGGCACAATGCTCCCCAAGAAGCCACTAGGGCCACCGTAATCTCCTCATGCCCTTGCACAATACAAGATGACGTGATTCCACTAAGGGACCCTTAAGGGCAGTCGCCGAACCCGTACAAA